TTTGCGATTGATGATATATTAGCGCCCCTCTTCCCGTTTTCCTGTGTCCGTATCCCAGACCAGTTCATCGGTTCTAAGCATGCATGATTCAAGCGTTGTCCTTGTGATATATGATATTCCAATGTCCAGCTGTTCTTGGTAATCTCAGCATATATGCAGGTCGGTTAAATGAGTTCGAATCCGTTGCGTCGACTCATTCAGTTGTGGAGCACTCATAAGTCCTTGTTCCTTCTGCTTCAAATGATGAGTAATCTGAAACGAATGATAAGCGCATGCTCTCGAAACTCTTAACTATTGGACTAGGTATCGGAAGGTTTCAACGGTCGCATCATAACTCCTTTTGAACATTTGAAAGGAGTAGTGTGAACGTGTAGGATCTACCGTATACCAAGCAATTCACTTCGATTCGAGCAACTCATAAAGCATACGTACGAATGCGTGAACGACGACGGCGAATGTCGATGCACAGAAGATTTAAGTGTTTCTCGAACCGATCAGAGTTTCAATTGCAGTTTGTGACCGGCAGGACGTTATCGTGATGGATAAGGCATCACAGTCATCGTCGACACGGCCAGCGATCTGCACGGAACCGTGCGTGACCACAATAGATATTCATCCACAGCTGCTGCTAATGAATGAGCCGACCAGTGAAGGATCATCCAGAATTAATCCCACATTGCCATACTTCTACGAATCAAGCGATCAAGGTATGAATACGAACCAATCTCAACTGCATACCGTTAATTGCTCTCAAAATATGGAATTTACAATGATGGCAAAAATTCAGTGAAATTTTCAACAATTGTTTTTGCAAAATCATTCATTCTCGTGCGACTAGTCATCATAGAGAGGGAAATTTAAGAATCATTCAACTTGAATCGGAAGTTTAACATGAAGATGTTTGATGCTCAGATGGGAAGAATGCTTTGACATTCCTTATGCCAGTCGGTGCTGCTATGCCAATCGTAACGGAATTTCAGTGGAAACAAAACACATGTTATCATGTAAGCAGGCCAAAAACGATAAGATCAAAAGATCAGAAATGCACATGTTATACCACATACTGTTCAGACAGTACTGATTTGAAGCAAAAATTGTCATTCAATTGGAACACTGTTTATTTCAGCTCTCGAAGAATATTATCTGCCTTCCGCACCATCCTCAGAGCACAGCAGTGACATCTATCACAAGGATTCCTTCGAAGAAGGTGAGCTGATTTTAGATGATATGATTTTTGAGTT